ACTGCCGCGCAGCTGAATGTACATGATGTACAGGGACCGCCGGCAGCCTCCCTTCGCCTTGGCGCGCATGTTCCGGAAGGTTTCGGCGGCCATGGGGCTCTCGAATTCGACCTTGAAATACTTCTCCGCGTCGACGTCGAGCACGTAGTCGCAGCCGTGTTCTCGCACCATCGCGTCCTGCTTCGCGAGGAGGGGGCTCGGCCCGGCGCGCGCTTTGGCGGCGGCCGCCACCGCCGCCGCCGCGCCGCCGTCCGTCGGGCGGCAGACCTGCTTGTGGCCCGATTTCAGTGCTTCTTCTGACACTCGCGCGAGCAATACGCCGCCAAGCCGCAGCGCCGGCACTTGGAGGGCGCGGCCTCAAAGCAGCCGGGCCCGTCGCATACCCGCCGCCGCATCGCCGCGGCACGGGCGTCGACTTCCGCCGTCTCCCGGCGTACCGTCGCGAATTGTTCCATAAGACCTTGACGGGTCGGCGCGAGCGCATGGGTCGGCGCGTAAAATTGGGCGAGCTCCTCCCACACGTCCACGTCGAGCTTCGGGCGCGCGTGTTCGAGCACCCCGGCGAAGAACTCGCGGTGCCGCACGGGAACGATATCCCCAAAATCCCTCGGCACCGTGACGAGAATGGTGTCCAGCGCGACGCAAAGCAGCATGATCTCGGCCGTCGCGTTCGCCGGAAACGCGGCAGGTCGCCCCGCGCGCGCGTCGTAGCGTCGGAGGCACGACGCACAGTCGTCCCAGAGCGCCTCGAGGCCGCCGGCGCCCAGGAAGTCCTCGATGGCAGCGCGAGGTCTCTTGAGGAATTCCGCGCTGTGGCGCAGCAGGCCCACGCAGGACAGGATCAACGCCGAGCGCCGGTCTCGCGAAGCGCGGAGCGCGTCGCGGCACCAGCGAAGGAGCCGCCCCTCGGTCGCGATGCGTTTGCACGGCACGTGCAGCGGAAAGTTCTCGGCTCCCAGGCCGCCCACCTCGGTGCGCGCCGCGCGCGCGAGCATCGCGTACTCCAGGGCGTAGATCAGCACCGCGCGGCCGTCGTCGGCGGCGCAGGGGCCGTCGAGGACCTCGTCGAAGTTCCGCGCCGGCTCCCGGAGCAGTTCGACGTAGAGCGGCTTCAGGGCGGCGAGGTCCTCGTTCGAGGCCTCCTGCGGCCG